TGCAAAGCAACAGAGAATATTCTAAATGTAAGAACGCAATTCAAAACTGGCTCCTATAAGGATTTAAAGATCATAAGACATACATCTTGCAATCCTTGGAGTCCATCTACGCAATTACCAGCCAATAGCAATTTACTGGCTGTTATATTAAACACTTGGAAATCACAAAGTTTGAATAAACATCAAAGGGGAAGTGATGAAGGTATGAATCTCTATGATATACTTGTAAGAAAAAACTACGCAAAGTTATATTCATCTCTTAAGAAGTATACTTCTCGTACACACTTGCATTTATGTTTCATCATTCTCTTTATTATTTCATTCCTATTAAAATTTCTTCACAGATATCAAACACATTTTGTTAAATAAAGGATTGTTCCTCTACATCACATCACCTAAAATGATGTTTGCTGCTTTCGTCCTCTCAATTGTCCTCATTTCAATACTTATTCTGGACTGCAATTTGTGTTGTCGTAAAAAAGGAATAATGTATTTGTTGATGACTTGTGGAAAGAATAAAGAGTGCGAAGACTGCATAAGAGGACGTCAAACCATGATCGAAATGGTTTAATAGAATGCTGAAAAGACACAAATCAAAAGAAATGAAGAATACAGAGAACCAGACTGAGTCATCAATAAAAATCGATGCAGACACAGGGAATGACCCCACAAGAAGACTTGAATTAGTTGTGACGTGGTCAGCGTAAATGCAGAAAAATTATGGGTACTAGTACAATTAAATCTAACAAAATTAATATCAGCGTACTGATATAACTATGTTTTTCCTGGTATCTCGCATTTGAAGTAGCTTGTAAATCTCCGTTTGTCCATTTTGGGAATTATAGACACACCTTGTGTAATCTGCTACATGCTTATTTTTTATTTATTTCTTCTGGATATATAACAAACTTGAATTTTCCTGTGGTCAAGATAGAAATTAAGGCAAAACATTCCGCTATAACAATAATATATGCCATCTAAACTTTATTCGATAAACTTTGTATTGGACGAACTTTCTACTGTAAGGAAATAAACTTTGTATTGGACGAACTTTCTACTGCATGGAAATAAGCTTTGTATTGGACGAACTTTCTACTGTAAGGAAATAAACTTTGTATTGGACGAACTTTCTACTACATGGAAATAAGCTTTGTATTGGACGAACTTTCTACTGTAAGGAAATAAACTTTGTATTGGACGAACTTTCTACTGTATGGAAATAAACTTTGTATTGGACGAACTTTCTACTGTATGGAAATAAACTTTGTATTGGACGAACTTTCTACTGTATGCAAATAAACTTTGTATTGGACAACTCTTTAACAAGCACTCTATTACAGGCTCAAAAATGATTATAAATAAAATTAGAAACGATTGTAGAGAGTCATATTTCACGGTCTCTATATTTGTCTGATTTAATCCATGCAGCAAAATCATTTCTGTCGAAAAAAAAACACAGTATTTCTGACGTATTTCTTTGACCACAATTTTTGCCTAGAACAGGATAACATAAAAATTGATGAAGAACAAAACAAGAAACGGCTGAAAGCTACATTGACGTGTTGTATGAACTGTATACTTGTCTAAGAACTCGTGCAGCTTTATCAAAAATCTTTAATTGTTGTCTTTCCCATATAAGAATCTTAATTCATTGATGTTTTTCTCGAGGCGTTCTACTTCCTCGAGCTATTCACTCAAAAGTTTCTCTCAAACATGATCGTCGTTTCGTCGTTATTTATTAGCATACACGCGTATTCAGTTCTGACAGGGCAAACCATTGTCAAATCTATAAGTTTCCTTAGTGCATGTTATTCATTAAAATTAGAAAAATTTAGCAAACACGACTTGTCATACATAACGTCGTTAAATATAACGCTAAAATGACGTTTATGCCCATATATAGTCTATGAAATGTTACAGTCTATAAAATGTGACAGGTATTAGCGTTCACTAAAACTACATTCAAAGCTTTACTTTTTCTTGAATTCCCTTATTAGTAATCACATGAATTTATCATTTTTCCGCGTTCAAGGAATTATGTAATTCTTCATACCCAAGCCGGCTGATCTGTTTTGCCCTTACCACATTGAAACATCTTTCCATCTCTCTTTCCTAACAGACGGTCAATTTTGGCGTCCAAAACCTCTAGGTCAGGGCAGGGATTATTGGAAGTTTAACTCGAAACAGAAAAAGAATCAATTTAACGCTGTTGCCATGACAATACCAAACTTTCACAAATGAAAAAACCCCAGCAAAGTCCAAATGTTAGTAAGTTTCGTAAATAGAAAGAATAGTTGTTCTGAGATTATACATAATCCATTACCAGCCGACAATTTTATAAAGTATAATAAAAAACTTCCTCCGAATAAAAGGTCCAAAACTCAATACTTAAGAAACAAACAAGACAGTTTTTTTACACAGTAATATTTCGAATTTATTACAATTCATCATCGGATTGTTTCTCAAATATTGAGTTAAACATGAACATTTTATTCGGAATATGTTTTCTTATTATACTAAAGGAAAGTATAGCTTTTCTCTATTTGTCGCAGCAAATTCATGCTAGCAAGCTGATTTATTCTGTCTGCTTGCGGATGAATTATGGCGACGATTGATTCAACAAGACATTCTGTAATAAAGTAAATGATTTGAACCAAAGTAAATGTCAACAACAACAAAAACAGTCCTTCTCAGGACTATACCAACCTGGACGATCTACATTTACAAACATGTAAAGACATTCTGTAATAACGAAAATGCAAATTTCAATTTTTTATGACCTTTCGTGTTTAGAGCAGATTTTTGAACTTTACATGCCTTAATTTTAACACCTAGTTTCCTACTATCGATTGATGTTGTTGACAAATTATAAACAGAGGACCTAGCTCAACTAACACCTTCCTACCGATGATATGGCGATAAAGAGAAAAACTAAGATACGAAAATTTCGCTCCTTCATTAATTGAGCTTTCCTGCTGGCTGTTGCGTGCTCTAACAGTCATTTTTCACATGATTATGATTGATTCTTGAACCCTCACTCTCATGAATAGATGACGTGCATTTTGATTAATTCATGACACGTAGAGCACCGCCACTCATAACAGCTGCGATTGTTTTACGTAAGAGTTACATGCCTGCTCATACATACGAAAATACGTACATACATACATACATACATACATTTACATACATTGTTTGAGCTGTTGCATGAACTCATTTTTCACATGATTATGATTGATTCTTGAACCCTCACTCTCATAAATAGATGGGCTGCTGACGTGCATTATAGAGCTGATTAAGTTTCATGACATTAAAGCTGAATTAGAGCTGAATTATGATTGATTCTTGAACCCTCACTCTCATAAATAGATGGCCTGCTGTGCTGACGTGCATTATAGAGCTGATTAAGTTTCATGACACGTACGAGCACCGCCACTCATAATAAAAACAGCTGCGATTGTTTTTACGTAAGAGTTACATGCCTGCTCATTGTAAGTAACGTTCAACTCTGCAAATATCATAGAGCGAACTATGGGTGAGTAAAACAGACTACCTTGATCATCGAATTTAAAAGTTCGTGCTTTACCAAGTCATTAATTATAAAAATCTTTCATTAAACCTGTAATGCGAATTTGAAATACATAATTATATAATATAAGAGGCGTGTAAAGACACAATTTGTTATTTATGACCAAGCTTTGTCTTTTTAAGGTATCTTTGAAAACTTAATATATACTTGGGTAATGCTCGTGGTCTTTGTTTTTGAAACAAGCGCAAAGGTGAATGGAAGAAACCATGGATTAGGTACGATAAAATATGAAGTCTATGAAATTAAACATCATAGAATCAAACATAAAATAATATGGTGAATGTTAATAATGCTTTTCATATTATTGTATGTATAACAACAATGTGTACTCGTTCATAAATCAAGATTGTTTATCTTTTTAAATTTCGTGAATGGGAGATGGAAATATCCTGCACTAGGTACAAAAAGGACGGCTTTAAACATAATGAAAATGGCATGGTCAACGTTAATATTCATTTTCTATAATTATAGTCCTCACGCAAGAAGTTGTCTCAATTTATGATGAAAACTTCACTGACATTCCCAAGGACAGGGAGCCATATTATATTAAAGTTCAACGATGTATCAACGATAAAGATAATGTTCCTACATGTTCATTATGTTGGCCCCAACCTATGACATTGACAGAAGTCGAGATTGTCGTTCCTGATTTAAAAAACTACACAAAATTTTATAAATATATTGTATATAATCACGCTTCTTGTTACTGGGAAACGACAGCTTTGAACTTTAACCTACACAAGAGTCTATCTTCAAACGAAAGTAAGGACTTCCGTATTTAGTTAAAATTTAAACTGAGATCTAAATTTGAAACGCTTTTCCTTTTGTGTTTACAGTTAACGAAACAGAATTTACAACAAAAGTAAAATACAATCCACCAAACGTGAGAACATGTAATGACTATTGCAAGCATCCACAACCTCGTTTTCATCTGCACAGTGAATATACAATGGTTGTTTTAAATTATCTCTTTATCCCATTCACTCAATGCTTGCCTGGTTGCAAAGCAACAGAGACAATGAAGATTGTCAATACATATGCCATAGATGGTTCAAACCCGATTGAAGTCATTAAAGAACATAAATCTTGCAATCTCTGGAGCACAACACAACAGTCCCCTTAATTCAGCATTTTGGAAGTGGAAAAGAAAGTATACGAATTTGTGCAGTGAACATCAAGATCAAGTAATTTAGTTGGTGCTATTGTTTAATGCAGGATGGAAATAATAGAAATTCACAAAAAGTTTATAAGTATAAAAAATAAATCAATGTTTCAATAAAGGTTTCAAAATTAAAGCAACAGAACAGCTGCAGTCGTACTCTCGCAACCGCCAACAATACCCCCAACAAATACTAAATGATAACGATACTACCCTCCCCCCTAACAACCTTGTACTAACTCCGGATGGTGATTATCTCGACAACATTAAGTCTTTATTGAACGTATCTCCAGATTATACGCTCTTCTTGAAATAAAACTCGTACATAATACTTGGCATTAGCGAACCTATTACTTGGTAATTTACTTTTTTAGTTAACATTCAGCACAATTAGTTATACATCCAATTTAGTTAACATCCATCAAAACGAGGACTTTGCTGCCAGACAATTTTTTGCATTTTTTTTAGTATGGAACAAATGGAGAACTACCTCGTGATTTTTGAGGAGTCGTTCGATGCTTTAGAAAAAAACCTTAATGTCTTGTAATAAATCGCCAAGTTCAATGTCAATTTCTTTTGAGTAGACTTTCTCGTTTCTGGATTAATGAAAATAAAAAACATCGTGATCATGTTCATCAACAGTCAAATCATTGCTATATCCCCCTATACTAGATAATCCCTTCTTACAATATTAAAATGTTAATGTCAGCTTCATTAATTATTCTTTTCATGATGCAATTTAAAATTCTAGCGAAGTCCTTATCTTCTCTTCTCTTGAAGCTCAATACTTGAAGCCTTGACCGGAGTTCGGTTGCTTATGCGATAAACATGTGTTAATCCTCAAATATCCAATGAGGAAATATACATAATATTGGAACAAGTCATCAACAGTTATAATACTAAGATCGCCAAAATTTTATTTGGTTCCAATACGAAAATTTCGCTCCTTCATTAATTTAGCTTTCCTGCTTGCTGTTGCGTGCTCTCACAGTCGTTTTTCACATGGTTATGATTGATTCTTGAACCCTCACTCTCATAAACCTCTTAAGATGGCCTGCTGTGCTGAAGTGCATTAAAGAGCTGATTAAGTTTCATGACACGTACGAGCACTGCCACTCATAACAAAAACAACTGCGATTGTTTTTACGTAAGAGTTACATGCCTGCTCATAGTAAGTAACGTTCAACTCTGCAAATATCATAAAGCGAACTATGGGTGAGTAAAACAGACTACCTTGATCATCGAATTTAAAAGTTCGTGCTTTACCAAGTAATTAATTATAAAAAATCTATCATTGAACCTGTAATGCGAATTCGAAATACATAATTATGTGATATAAGAGGCGTGTATAGACACAATTTTTTATGTATGACCAAGCTTTGTCTTTTTAAGGTATCTTTGAAAACTTAATATATACTTGGGTAATGTTCGTGGTCTTTGTTTTTGAAATAAGCGAAAAGGTGAATGGAAGAAACCATGGATTAGGTACAATAAAATATGAAGTCTATGAAATTAAACTTCATAGAATCAAACATAAAATAATATGGTGAATGTTAATAATGCTTTTTATATTGTTGTATGTATAACAACAATGTGTACTCGTTCATAAATCAAGATTGTTTATCTTTTAGATTTCGTGAATGGGAGATGGAAATATCCTGCAATAGGTACAAAACGACGGCTTTAAACATAATGAAAATGGCATAGTCAACGTTAATATTCATTTTCTATAGTTCCAGTCCTCAAGCAAGAAGTTGTCTCAATTTATGAGGAAAACTTCACTGACATTCCGAAGGACAGGGAGCCATATTATGTTAAAGTTCAACGATGTGTCATCGAAAAAGATAAACTTCCTAAATGTGTAGATTGTTGGCCCCAACCTATCACATTTACAGAAGTCGAGATTGTCGTTCCTGATTTAAAAAACTACACAAAATTCTACAAATATATTGTATATAATCACACTTCTTGTTACCTGGAAAAGAACATGACAGCCGTGAACTTTAATCTACACAAGAATCTACCTTCAAACGAAAGTAAGGACTTCTGTATTTAATTAAAATTTAAACTGAGATCTAAATTTTAAACGCTTTTCCTTTTGTGTTTACAGTTAACGAAACAGAATTTACAACAAAAGTAAACTACAATCCACCAAACGTGAGAACATGTAATGACTATTGCAAGCATCCACAACCTCGTTTTCATCTGCACAGTGAATATACAAAGGTTCTTTTAAATTATCTCTTCATCCCATTCACTCAATGCTTGCCTGGTTGCAAAGCAACAAAAAACACAACGAACATCAAAACACAAACCCTATATGGTTCAAACCAGTTTGAAGTCATTGAAGAACATATATCTTGCAATCTCTGGAGCACAACACAACAGTCCCATTTATTCAGCATTTTGGAAGTGGAGAAGAAAGTATACGAATTTGTGCAGTGAACATAAAGATCAAGTAATTTAGTTGGTGATATTGTTTAATGCAGGATGGAAATAATAGAAATTCACAAAAAGTTTATAAGTATAAAAAATAAATCAATGTTTTAATAAAGGTTTCAAAATTAAAGCAACAGAACAGCTGCAGTCGTACTCTCGCAACCGCCAACAATATCCCTAACAAATACTAAGTGATAACGATACTACCCTCCCCCCCCTAACAACCTTGTACTAACTCCGGATGGTGATTATCTCGACAACATTAAGTCTTTATTGAACGTATCTCCAGATTATACGCTCTTCTTGAAATAAAACTCGTACATAATACTTGGCATTAGCGAACCTATTACTTGGTAATTTACTTTTTTAGTTAACATTCAGCACAATTAGTTATACATCCAATTTAGTTAACATCCATCAAAAACGATGACTTTGCTGCCAGACAATTTTTTGCATTTTTTTTAGTATGGAACAAATGGAGAACTACCTTGACCGGAGTTCGGTTGCTTATGCGATAAACATGTGTTAATCCTCAAATATCTAATGAGGAAATATACATAATATTGGAACAAGTCATCAACAGTTATAATACTAAGATCGCCAAAATTTTATTTGGTTACAATATTTATACTTAGTTTGAAGTAATCAAAACTCGTGTTTACTGGAATCTTAAATGCAAAATGGAGTGTATTCCCTCTTATGTTAAAGGCAGCTTTGCTTGTTGGAGGTACTTCTGGAAAACTGACATCGTCAGAATAATTTTCTGGTCATAATTCATTTATCTAGTTAGAGCTTTGTACAGTACTTTTACCAACGCTAGAGCCGCCAGTTTTACTGCCTTAACTGAATTCAACACATTATGCAATTCATTTTGTTCAACAATTAGTGACTGAACAAGTTTTCTCTACGTCATCACGACAAGTTCTTCGATTCAAAGTCATTCGTTGCCAAGCTTTTCACTTTCAACATATTTTGCTGCTTAAGTAACAGCTTGAGTATACTTCCCGTGTTAAACTCTGTTTTGCTCGATTACTTCTTCCGAAAAAAATATTCTCTCATTTGTATCAGATGCGTCGATAAAATTTTGCGTAACATTTCAACATCATTGAGAATTCAACACCATTTTCCTCACTCTGTTCACAATTTTTCAACTTGTTTCGACTGTGCGGTTTAATGGAAGTTTTCAAATGGTTGTAGAATTTGAAACCCGGATTTTAAAATGGCCGTATAAAAGCGTAACGTCATCAAAAATATTTTAAATAGTTTATTTGAAAATTATAATGCCACCATCTCATACAAAAATTGCAACTAATAACTACGCCCTAAGAACTCTTTGAACACTAAGGGGCTGATAACATGATCCCGGTAGCCGGGATTCAGCCAAGCGTTAAATGATTTTGAAAAAGATTTAATACTTAACATCAGACAAATCATCTCAAGCAATTTCACAATATTCTGATTTAAAAACTACCCAAAACATTTAAAATTAAAACAACCAATTTGCCCGAATTATCGAATTACAACAGGAATAACGTGTGGCGTTTGCAATCACAGTTGTAATTTTTAACCTTGAAGTTTTGGCCTCTCTCAGTCCCTTGAAATCATAGGGCTAGCACGCTATCTGGGCCAGCTCGCCTCCATATAATCAAGCTCTAAGAGTAATTCATCAGCCAGTATTGAAGCAAGAAAAAAGCAGAAGTTACTGTAAAAATTTAAAAGCTAAACGAAGTTAAAAGAAGCTTGCATATTTATTCTTTTATTTTAAGTCCTCTGCGATAGATTTAAATGTACAATTAACATTATAAACAATTATACGATGTAATTTTTTTATATTGTTTTCAACATGTACCATATGCTCCATTTCCGTCAATTAACACAATTATTATTTCAATTGACCGTATTTAAAATGGGACTTCACAATGCACCCGTGGACAGTACTGACAGGTTGGTCGTATTAAACGGTTGTTTGTTATAAAATACACCAGTGTTTTGCTTGTATAGAAATACGACCGTCATATAACCGTATTAACGGCAGACCGTAAGGCGGGGTTTCACTGTTTGACCAAATTATGAAAAGTAAAACGCATTACAAAAATGCAAAAATAGAGCGAACAAATTAAAAATTCATTCTAAAAAGGGAAGACAGTCCTTGAAGTACTAAATGTCGAATCATCGATATGAACGGAAACCGAGCACGAAAGAAAGAAATTAGTCAAAATACACCCACTACGTCTAATAATACAAAGAAGCCGCAATAAGTACTAACATGGGTACTCCAAATCCTCTTGCAAAACATTCTACCTCAAATACAAAAAGGGAAATAATTGCAAGAGTTCTTAGTATTTCGCCAGTTAAAGACACAAAATGATACTTTGAACTATTCTTGTATCATTGAACTATTTTGTATCATGACGCCAAAAAAGAAGAGTAAAAATGCTCTTTGCTTTAGAAAACCTTGAAAAGATTCTGCTGTTGGAAAGACATGAGACAAAATTGCGGTGAAAATTCAAAAATTACATGATCCTATGACATATATGATGCTGGAAATACAAAAGAAGAAAATCGCCGTTGTAATCAAAACCACGCCACTCCATCATCTCTTTGTTTTAGCAAAGAGATATTCATCTCTTTGTTTTAGCAAAGAGATATTCTTCTGGAATATCATTAGCAGAAAATCGCCTTTGAAATTTGAAGCCTCACCTTCTTATTATCTCGTTGTTTTAGCAAATCTCGATAAGATATGATTCTGGAAAGACATAAGAAGAAAATTGCCGCAAAGAAATTTAAAACCACACCATCCTACCATCTCTTTGCCTGAACAAACTTCGAAGAGCTATTCTTTCGAAAGAAATGAGCAGATACTGCTGGAAAGACATGAAAAGAAGATTGCAGAAGAAATATAAAACCAGGCCGTTCGCTTCCATAAAATATTTCTTCTCATTCAAATAATTCTCATTCGCAAATGTCGATATTTCACCTCAATTAAGTCGGAAATTCTAAGCAATTTCTCTTTGATTTTCAAGGTCAAATGGACTTCTTGAAACAGAATGCTTCAAATGATGAAATGCGTTGTGGCAAATGACTCATCCTCAATTATGCAGTTATGTGCAAGGAAATAGTCGATAAGAACATTCGGATGACAAAACAATAGTAGGTACACACTCCATTCCTTTCCTTTAATCCACGCCATTATGTTTGATTCAACTAAATAGCCAGCACCAGCTTACAATTGTCGTCAATCGTCTGTTGTTACCGCTTATAAATGCATCGTGTTGATTGTCATTACGAAAAATCTCTACTCCTATCTCCCCAGTTTTGAAAAAACATCCAAATTTAAACAACAATCTTTTAGTCTTACGCAATTCATCGAAGTAAGTATAGTCTCTTCCGCCAGTGTGTTTTTTTTTTATCAAAACGGCTTGTTTGAGAATATGAGACTGTAGGTCCCGGTAAATTCAAACTATATCATCAGTGGCACAGCCAGCTTGATAATAAAGGGGTGAAGGTAGGGTGGGGCAATATTCACACGTAAAAGTTCTGCCTTCAGTTCTATCGATATACGCATTATTTATTGCATGCACATGTGAATATGCCTCATCCCCCTTCCTAATCGCAGGAACTACCTATGCCATTATAGGACCAACTCTTTCAGTGTGTCTTCAAACACATCCCACCACATACCCCCCGATAATTAAAACTTCCAGCAACAATTTTTCCTCGACTTTCAAATTACAGTCAGCATTTTAGCACTACCTAACACAATTTTAGCACTACCTAACATTACACACAAAAAATTGATTCTAACGAAGTCAATATGTGGTATCCAAAAATGCTGGATCTATATGTTGACTTTGTTTGCACTGGGCTTCAGTCAGAAGCATTCTAACACGAAAGGCACAGCTACGCGTATATTCTTCCCAGTAGCAAAAACAATTCCGGTAAAAACGAAATTTTGGTAAATATAGGCATTGAAACTTAAATGAACCAGATGAAGACTTTTGGTAGATCAATTAACAGGTAAATTCAAAACTACATACCTTAATAAACAAGAGACGGTAATTCAAATAGTGGCGTGGATTTTTGGCATTCTTTCGCCACGAGATTCTATAAAAAAAACAAATAACTTCCTCATGAGGTCACCCGAAAGAAATGTTGAAATTCAGCAACATGCTCCCTTGTGGTTCACACATATACCAAAAGTCGTAAAAATCGGCGATTGTAATGCATATAAAACTTCCCAATTTCCCAGTAAACAAAAGTTCTCAATCAAACTTGTGTTAAAACTCCCAAATTTGGGGATAGGATGGAATGTGGTTTACTTTGTTCTCACTTATCGTATAATAAAGGGGGAGTTTAAAAATAAATGATTCTCCTCTGATTAATGTTTGCTACAACCACAAAAACAGACATGTAAAGACAAATTAATGTAAAATACGTTCAACTATTGAAATTTATCTTAGGCCGTTTATTTACTCGTGCAAATATTTCGGTAATAATCACGTGTTCTATAATACGCGAAACTGATCCTTAATCCAATCTCTGACAAATATGTCATCTATAGCCGAGTACTGGGCTCCGGATTAGTGATCAATTTTGTGTATTTATAGAACGCAAATTTATCACCAACGTTTCGGTGTTTACTCATCGTAGAAACAATAAAGACTTCAAAGAAATAAACACTGATAATGATCTGAAGTTTACATCACAAGACCAAACCCAAGGGCTGACTTAGGTCACAAAAATAACCAAACTAAACGCAACAGAGGCCACTATGCTACACGTAAAACAGTAACCTTTGAGCTTTGCTTCATGTAACTACGTCAATTATAGGCTAATTAAAAACACTGTTTAACACAATCGGAAGCGCACTTGTGCCGTTTCGCAATTCCCTTTCGCAATTATTTCAGTTTTGACAATACGTTACAGTTAAATTCACACCTACGAATGTACTTTATTAGTTTCAATGTTTTACGGAAAGAAACAACAACGAAGTACTAAGAACCATTGCAGTTAAATGAGGAAAATCCTATTTTCTATATATATTTTTCTAGAAAAAGGCCATATAGTGATGATCATCTTCAGACCTTTCTATATAATCGTCATGGACCTCACGGTCTATACTACACGGTCAAAACTCTTTGTTCCTTAGAAAACGGTTTTTCTAAATTATTGACAGCTCTCGCTCACACGATTTCTTTTTCTTATCTATAACGAGCTAAATTATCAAAATTTTGTTCCTTAAGCTTGGAAGAATAAAGTAAAAGAACGCTTGTGATTGAATGTACTATATAGCAATCATACATTGATAAAGACTGGAGAAACTGTATCTGTAAAGTAGATTTATTGTACACACATGATGTGATGACAACCATCAATTAATATGAAATCAATTAGCCGTTGAGCGTTTTCCTATCAAAACAACTGGGAAAATATGAAATACCTAAGTCACTTTACATCATGCTAATTAAAACCCACCAGAAGTCGTCAAAAACAACTCCGGACATTTATAGAAAATAGCAAGTTTTAAGGCGTGTTAGGTGCGATCACGCATGCGTTTCTGAAGAACTTGGGGTGGGACAACTTCCACTGTATTTTTTCATGAACCTACAGGAACCTTCGAGAATTAAAAAAAATTTTACGACATGATCTATTTTACTTTACAGAAATCAATAAAAGCATTATTTTTTTTCTTGCATTGCGTGTTGTTGCGTAAATAAGTTATGAAGGAATGCTAACCTCAACAGCGCAATACAGTATATCAAAAATAACCTAAAGAGTATTCATCCTTCTGCTGCACCATTATTTGTCAAAAGGAAATGGTTAACCCAACAAAATAAAGTGCGGTTCACCATGCAGTGAAAAACAAGTCTTGCATCATTATAAATATAAAAAACGCAAACACCATAAATCATTTACAAGTGTTCAAAAGTCAGCGAACAGTTGCTTACATCGAAAAGAAAGACGATTTGCAAAAAGCGATCAACCAATTTTTCTGCAAGCAAAATGGGTAAGTTATACATTCTATTTGTTTTTCTAATTGCACCATGAAGAAGTATTACTAGGTTAAATTTATCGTATGCACTTCCTGATGACTATTTATGCGCCGATTTTAAAGCACCATCGAGTAGTGTTAACCTTGTATAGTAGCCAAAACTATGTGTCGTCGATGCATACAATGTATAGATTACATATTGTTTTAAATTCTGCAACAATTCGCTGTCGCATTTTGCAATTGCGCTAATTAAACAAAGAAACAGCATTGTATAAAAAAAATTGTTGAAATAAACAGCACAATTGTTTGTTGTCTACCATGCTGATTGCCATTACCAATTTATTCAACCGTTTTTTCGTATTCAATTTAGCTATAAAATTTGTTACAATAATGACCTCTCTCCCAATCATGAAGCATTATGTTTGACAAAGTCCTCGGTGTCAAAGAATCTTTGTTGAAGTAATTCCACAAAATTCTTTAAATGAACCTAGAGTAGAGACGTTCACATGAATTAAGAATATAGCATAGGGTCAATTTTTTTCACACACGGTTTGATATGTACATGGTTCAACAGCGCAGGAAGTATGTATACAAAACATTTAAATTTTTTTTTGTAAACTATGCCCTAAAAAGTTAACTAAATGACATTAAAAAATATCATTACGGGAAGTTACAAAGGACAATAGGGACAATAGGGTGAAATATCATTTTGAATCCCTGCATCTCTTAAACAAATTGTTGATGAATATATCGAATGATCAAATAATATATGTATATTGATTATTGATATAAAAGATAAGAATAATTCACGCCACTCTTGACCTCCAATGACCTGATGTTTACATTTGTGTCTTTGTTCTTTATCACTCTTTGTAAGACGCTCATTTGAGAGCAACATTCATTGCATTGCTAAAAAATACTTTTAACACTGTACCATCTCCAGTATGTTGGGTTCAAAATAGACGCTAGTTTTAGTATGACTTACAAAATGGCTTATCAATTTGTATAAAATATTTCATAGTTGAGCAAAGTAAATGATAGCTGTAATTTTAAATTCATAAATGCGTTTATGCCTTTGGTTGTGAATTTAATAAAATCCTACCAATCAATTGGCAGTTTTAATATATTTTGCATCAGGTACTGATTGCGCTTTTATCTTTCATCACAGATCGATATTTTTTAAGAAGTAAAAAGGAAGTTTATGTTATTGTTTTAACACTATGCCAGCTCTGTGCAGCAGCAGGTAAACATACAAAACTAAACATGTTGAATTTACTGATTGTATAATGAAATAGTCGTTTTACATTTTTCATTTGGTTTCTCACAATTGAAAATTGTTCGTCCACAGACAAGCCAAATTAATATGTACTTATATTTCCAGCCAAGAAAACGTGTGAACCTCAGGAAGATGTTGTGTCCATATACAGTGACAAATTTGACGAAGCCCCCTCAAGGCTTCGGACCATATTTCATCAAAATACACCGCTGTGCAGAATATTCACAAACTCACTATCCGTCGAAACCAGTGAGATGGCAAAAGATAGGCATCGTACTGTGAGATTCACTGACCTTTAAATATTACGAATACATTTTACGTAATCACACCAAGTGTAAATGCTCCACCAATTTAACAGTCTTTCAATACAACAGAGAAAGGCGTGTAGGTAAGTGAAAACATACATAATATTACGTTATAGGACACCCCGAACTTAATTCCCACAAAAAAGATTAATGCTATTCCATAAGCTTTTCACTTCATTGTTTAAGCAAATTTTATTATTTCACCATACAGTCACGGGGAATGCACCTCTTATCCTGCATACTTGTACTAGTGAGGGATTTTGAGTAATATCAATTGTACGATAAGAACAAGAAAATGCATGCGCTGATTGGTCTCTTGCCGAGTTTGCAATTTGCATTAGCCTTTGCATCCGACCAGAGCTTATTCAATAAATTCAATCAAAATAATTTGCAAATAATCAATCAACGATAATTTGCAAATCAATCATGAATATATATAGAGAATGAATTAGAAGTTTTTAATATTTATCTGTTTTGCATTACTGTTAATTTATAAAAAGATGTTTTACGCGTTTGCACTGGCTCATTGCAAAACCTCAAAGAGTGAGATCTCTCGACCATTGGTCACGGGCTTCCACTCATCTGCTCTCGAGAGATGTCAATGTCAAGAAATAATAGTTTTCTGTTTTGTTCGATTTCAGCTGTGAATGTGATGTTAGGGTGCTCTCGGTTCAGATAGTCAAGAAAGAGAGGGACGTGATCGGAGGGATGAAAAAGTAAAAAACACTCGTCAACTTAGCGTCGGTAAAGTAGTGGTTTGAATGAAGAAGGACATTTATTAAGCCAGGATTGTTCGTGAGAGGACATGAATATATCAGCAAAGAGAGGGCCCAATGGACTGCCCATACTTGTCTACTCCCCGAAGTGAGGGGATTTTTGAATAATATCAATTGTACGATAAGAACAAGAAAATGCATGCGCTGATTGGTCACTTGCCGAGTTTGCAATTTGCATTAGCCTTTGCATCCGACCAGAGTTTATTCAATAAATTCAATCAAAAATAATTTGCAAATAATCAATCAACGATAATTTGCAAATCAATCATGACTATATATAGAGAATGAATTAGAAGTTTTTTTTAATATTTATCTGTTTTGCATTACTGTTAATTTATAAAAAGATGTTTTACGCGTTTGCACTGGCTCATTGCAAAACCTCAAAGAGTGAGATCTCTCGACCATTGGTCACGGGCTTCCACTCATCTGCTCTCGAGAGATGTCAATGTCAAGAAATAATAGTTTTCTGTTTTGTTCGATTTCAGCTGTGAATGTGATGTTAGGGTGCTCTCGGTTCAGATAGTCAAGAAAGAGAGGGACGTGATCGGAGGGATGAAAAAGTAAAAAACAGTCGTCAACTTAGCGTCGGTAAAGTAGTGGTTTGAATGAAGAAGGACATTTATTAAGCCAGGATTGTTCGTGAGAGGACATGATATATAATACTTGCATTTTTGAATAATATCAATTGTACGATAAGGAAAATGCCCAATGCCGAGTTTGATTTGCATTAGCCTTTGCATCCGACCAGACACCATCAATTTGCTCAATACGATAATTTCCCATGTTAAAGAATAATATTTAGTGCATTACAGTTCGTTTAATTGCACCTAGAGAGAGTAGTCTGCTTCAAATGTCTCGATTTCAGCTGTGAAGTGATGTTCCGTTTGAATGTGAGTTGTGAATGTGTTGAATATTATGCGGATGGTTTCGTCAACAGGTATGTTAGTAAATAGGGATACGACATCAAAACTAGCAAGGACAAAATTACTGGAGTTGATTTCGCAGTTTACGATTTCTTCGACAAAGAGAAGGAGTTTTGATGATAAAGTTGCTTGTAGTGAAGGGTTTTAGGAGTGGGATAAAAAACTTTGCTAGTTTATACGAATAGTGATTAATGGAGGAAAGAATGGGTCTGAGAGGGATGTTACATTTATGTATTTTAGGAAGACCATACAATATACCTATTCGTGAACCAGTAGGGTAAAGTTTTTTGTAAGTTTCTTGGCCGATAGATTTAGCATCTTTCAACTTTTTTAATAAAGACTTCACTTGATTTTCTCGTTGTAAAGTGACTTTTACTGGATCTCCATCAAGAGGTTGAAACTTTGTTGTGTCAGATAAGAGTGTGTTCATTTTCTTTATGTAGTCGTCTTTGTTAAGTATTACGATGCCATTTCCTTTGTCAGGCTTAGTGATGAGGATAGTTCTGTCGTTTTTTAAACTATTTAAAATGTTCAAGTCTTCTTGTGAGTATAGGAAAGGTGGTGGGCTGTAACTTCGGAAACCTGAGTGGGCAATGTCTTTTAATTTGCATTTGATCGAGTCTGGAAAAAATCCGGATGATTCATTAACAGGTTCTCGTTTAAGGCGGTTGTAGAGTTTTTCTAAGGGTGTTAGGAAGGTGCAAATGTTTAACATTTTCGGTGGGACGGAAAAGTTTAAGCCTTTTGAAAGGATTTTTCTCTCTGTCAGTAATGAGGTGGTTTGAGAAGTTGAACACCACTTTATCAGGGTCGATTGGGATGTTGTTGTCATGTTTGGATGTGAGACGGAAAAGTTTGCGATCTTGGATATGTTGATGTTGCATTAGTTTTCTTGAATTTTCACGATCGGAGACATTCTTAAGGTGTATAAAGTCAATTTTGGAGATTAGTAACGCCAGGTTGGAGTGTGCTTGTGTTAGTTGTGCTGAGAGGACGCGTATGCGAGCGTGTTTCCGTTTATTTCTTCTTGAAGGAGTTTATTTTGGCATTGGCGATAAGCGCTAGAGTTTTGTAAACGACGACTAGCTACTTTGAACCACAGGAATCTTGGTATCACAGAGCGCTTTCTGCATGTCGTAAGAAAATCCAAGTCGAGTTTGGCTTTTCTCAGCTTAAGTTCAAGTCGTTGGAATTTTCTAAATGCTTCGAGTGCTCCATTATTATAGCGATTATTTAAAATAGTAGCGAGAGACTTGCCGAGCGGAAAGCGAATTCGTGTTCATTACGACAATCATACATAGCGCCTGACGAAAACAACCATGTTATTTGCCTAAACGCACGCGCTTGGATTGTTTGTTCAACACAATATCACAGATGACAATATTTAACTAATTAAGGATCTCTTTACCGTTCGGCTCATGCAAACAAAAGCTTTGTTTGGGACGAAGTGTAAAAAGTAGTAGCTTGTTCAACAAACGTCGAACAGTATCTACATTTTATATGATTGACAACAGGGCAACAAAAATGCAGGAACATCCTTCAAAATAATTATATAATTATATATAACTCTAATTGAGTGGGCGCATGTCTATAAAACTTACAGGAGCGGAAAGTTGAAATTAAATGAAGATATGATCTTGATATGAACACCGCACTGCATATAACAATCTTTCAGCGGAAAGTTGGTTGAAATATCGTATAAAGACAAGTATGGAAACTATTTTGATCATGATTTTACATGAAATATAACTAACAAGCAACGTTAACAGCATAGTAAAAGAAAAACATAATGTACATAAGCTAGCAGCAGCAGCAGACAAAATAATTGTTGATACGAAAAAGGAAAAAACATACCCAACATGTGTTGACAATGTTAAGCAAGCCGCATTCTGAAAAAACAAATAGGGTGTGACAAATGTTTTCAAAATTAGAAATGATACAAAATTATCATTATTATGACCATCGCCCCGCGAAGCTAATTTGTTGTGATAAACTATTTGGCAAACCATAGCAGCATCATCCATGGGAAAAACTTACAGAAAAAGAGAAAGAAATAGTCGCTACGGCCAAATTTTTACAGATCGTCGTCAAGATATGTTGGTATGCAGTTGACCATTATAACATGCACTTCCTATTGAAAATAAACTGAAAAATTTTATTAGATGTGTTAAATGCATTTTTTGTCCAATTTACCTTCAATCGACATAAAAATACATCTTTTCACATTCATACAATAGCATATTGCCAGAATTTATATTTAACTTCATTATTTTATTTAAAACGTTCAAAATGATAAGAAAAATTAAAGGCTTTTTCACTAATGAAATAATCATCAACATAAATAGCCTCTATAGTGCATTAAACAGAAGTAAAATGTTTCTATTAACGACGTATCGGAGAGAAACTAATTATTAGCAGATTAATTTGCAATTAAATGGTTGCATAACACACCGCACCTAAAAACCTTGACCACTACCATGAGTGAGAAAAATTAAATCAAAAATGTGCAATAATGACCATTCCGGTCTACCCACGGGTGATACACCACATTTCTAAACTTTTTCTTAACCATGCATTTAAATATTTTTTCACGTTGACTTCACACATGTTTCAGTTAGATTCAATCTGCGAAATATTCGGAACTATGGCGGTCAAACCAAAATAGACAAAATGAGAATGAACGAAACAGGAATTCTTAATATTTTCAATCTTGATCGAGCTCATACAAACGAGATAATAATAAATTGCTTTTCACACAATTACTACATCCCGTCTCACTTCAATTGTATCATCGATTCTTTAATTTGGTAAATACTACATCCCGTCTCACTTCAATTGTATCATCGATTCTTTAATTTGGTAAAGAATTCTCCAAATATATTTTGTGGGAGAGCAATTCAGACCACCGAAGAATTTAATACAAAGTGATCTTAGAAAGTCCCACTTAATTAGCATCACATTCCAAACAAACAAGAGTGGCAAATAAAAACCTCTTCCCATAATATTGATGTGAAGATGCTCTTTCAAACATCAAGGCTTCCGTTGAAGTGCCTCGCGGAGGATTAATGTGTCGAATTTTACACAGTTTAAGATGCAGTACACATTCTATATTTTTAATTTAGTTCATATAAGAACGTAAAGCGGTGGTTATTGTGCCATCATGGTCGTAGGAAGATCGATAATTAAGGAGGTTCACATTCATATGAGCATGTTATAATTTATATATGCATACATGAATGAAGCCTCTCAATTTTCAACCTTCGTATGGCCCAGGCAATACCGACAAAATGCAAAGTAACAAACGGCTCCTAAACATTACAAAATTATTAAGCTGAACAATGCATGATTATTTTAAATACAGTAATATTAAACAATTAACAATTTCGGAGCGTACATGAATCATCATAGTTATGTTGCTGCAGCAATTCGCCCACAAAAGGAAAGGTTTGTTCGAGCAGTACATAGCTTCCTACCAAGTACTAAATCAGTCGAAGGATGTCCTTCGACGAGAAAAAAATTTTTTTTCGGTGCGGTTAACCATGGGAGGTCAAGCATACCTTTGATACAATTGAGTACGGTATAAAATAAGGCAGCATTTTGTAACAATACAAACAGGCATAAACAGCAGATTTGTGAGGTGTTAAGTAACAAGAAAAGAAACTTACTTGTTTGTTGTATCTTGAAGTGAACCAGAATCTGAAAAAAATGGGTACGTAAAAATGCTTTGCAATTGTGACAGTAGTAACTATGATTGTAGGCTTAATAAATATACCGTAATAGATATCAATTGACAAAATTTTCATTGCTAATAAAGATACTTTATTTGACAAGATTAATGTTAGATCACTGACTTGAATCACCTCGGACACACAAAATTAGTATAAATATTAAATTGATCGAAACAAACCTCTCGTGAAACGCTTTTTGCTTTAATAAAACACGCAATCTAACTTTATACAACGTAAAATAGCGAGGAAACGGGCTCTTTGATTTAACAAGCGAACGTTTATCTCGTTTAGGTACCATTGCCAACTTTTCACAGGCATTATGGGTGGTTTTCGCATTTGTCTTATGCAGCAAAACGTTAATGGAGGAAACAATGGATTAGGTAGGAAAACAAATGACTTTTATTATTCATTTACACAGCGACAGGTTTTTGAAGATATAGTTCACTTTATTGAATAATAACTTTTTTAATATCCAGCCCTCGAAGATGAAGTTGTCTCAATTTACAGCAAAAACTTCACAAATATTCCCAAGGACAGGGAGCCATTTTATGTAAAGGTTCATCGATGTGTACTCAACATGAAAGACGACGGTTACAATGTTCCAGGTCCCGAACGTTATCCTCAACCCACAAAAATGAAAGAAATTGAGATTGTTGTGCCTGATTTAAAAAGCTACAAGAAGTTTTATAAATATATTGTCTACGATCACATTTCTTGTTACTGGAAGGAGTGGTCAGGCCAGCCAATGAATTTTGATTTACACAAGAACCTTACTTCAAACGAAAGTAAGCCAGATTACTGAATGTGAGAATGACGTTGAATAACCACAGCTTAACTTAAAAACTTCATTTTGTTCTTACAGTTAACGAAACAGAATTTAAATCTAAGGTTAAATACAATCCACCAAACGTGAGAGGATGTAATGACTACTGCAAGAATCAACAGCCACGTTTTAATGTACACAGTGAACCCATGGCAGTTAATATTCATCAACTCTTCATACCATTCAAACAATGCCTGCCTGGTTGCAAAGCAACAGAGAACATTCTAAATGTTAGCACGAAACTCAAAAATGGCTTCTATAAGCATTTAAAGATCATAAAACATACATCTTGCAATCCTTGGAGTCCATCTACGCAATTACCAGCCGATAGCAATTTACTGGCTGTTATATTAAACACTTGGAAATCACAACGTTTGAATAAACATCAAAGGGGAAGTGATGCAGGTATGAATCTCTATGATATACTTGTAAGAAAAAACTACGCAAAGTTATGTTCATCACTTAAGAAGTATACTTCTTGTACACACTTGCATTTATGTTTCATTATTCTCTTTATTATTTCATTCCTATTAAAATTTCTTCACAGATATCAAACACATTTTGTTAAATAAAGGATTGTTCCTCTACATCACATCACCTAAAATGATGTTTGCTGCTTTCGTCCTCTCAATTGTCCTCATTTCAATACTTATTCTGGACTGCAATTTGTGTTGTCGTAAAAAAGGAATAATGTATTTGTTGATGACTTGTGGAAAGAATAAAGAGTGCGAAGATTGCATAAGAAGACGTCAAACCATGATCGAAATGGTTTAATAGAATGCTGAAAAGACACAAATCAAAAGAAATGAAGAATACAGAGAACCAGACTGAGTCATCAATAAAAATTGATGCAGACACAGGAAATGACCCCACAAGAACAAGACTTGAATTAGTTGTGACGTGGTCAGCGTAAATGCAGAAAAATTATGGGTACTAATACAATTAAATCTAACAAAATTAATATCAGCGTACTGATATAACTATGTTTTCCTGGTATCTCGCATTTGAAGTAGCTTGTAAATCTCCGTTTGTCCATTTTGAGAATTATAGACACACCTTGTGTAATCTGCTACATGCTTATTTTTTATTTATTTCTTCTGGTTATATAACAAACTTGAATTTTCCTGTGGTCAAGATAGAAATTAAGGCAAAACATTCCGCTATAACAATAATATATGCCATCTAAACTTTATTCGATAAACTTTGTATTGGACGAACTTTCTACTGTATGGAAATAAGCTTTGTATTGAACAACTCTTTAACAAGCACTCTATTATAAGCTCAAAAATCATTATAAATAAAATTAGAAACGATTGTAGAGAGTCATATTTCACGGTCTCTATATTTGTCTGATTTAATCCATGCAGCAAAACCATTTCTGTTAAAAAAAACAGACATGTTGGAAATAATATACATACCTATTTTTTCTCGCAACATTACTATCGTAAAGATGTTAGCAGATATTATTGCGACAGATATTTGTGTCGACAAAACACTATACTTTAAGAGGTGATGTCATTGTCTTTACTATAAATATCTCTAGATTTTTTTTATTTTAGGCAGGATATGCTGTTCTGCTTTTTTGCTATGTGTTGTCAATCATATGCATCATTGTCATAGTATCGTTTGCGTAACAGAGAATTCGAATAAACCTATGTATGCTGGTGTATTTTTTCATCCATATATATTATACTTGTTATATATAAAATGTTGTCAAGAATATTAATGTCTTTTATCAATATTTAGCACTTGAAGATGAAGTTGTCTTGATCCACATCAAATACTTCACAAATATTCCCTAAGACAGGAAGCCATTTTATGTAAAGGTTCGTCGCCGTCAATGACGGTCCAACGGGTTCCTATGTGCCATGTGACAAACATTATCCTCAACACAAAAAATGAACGAAATTGAGATTACCGTTCCTGATTCAAAATACAAGAAGTTTTATAAATATATTGTCAACGATTACATTTCTTGTCATTGGAAGAAGAGTTCAGGACCGGCAATGAACTTTGATTTACACAAGAACCTTACTTCAAACGAAAGTAAGCCGGATTACTGAATGTGAGAATGACCTTGAATAGACATAGCTTATACTAATAGAAGATAAATCTAAAGTTAAATACAATCCACCAAACGTAAAAGGATGTAATGACTACTGCAAGAATCCACAGCCTCGTTTTCCTTTGCACGGTGAACTTATAGTTGATGATGTATTTCAACTCTTCATTCTATTCAACCAATGCCTGCCTGGGTGCAATGCAACAGAGAACATTTTCAGTGTTACAACAATATTCAAAACAGGCTTTATTACGTGTAAAAAGATCATGGAACACACATCGTACAATAGAGTATTTCTTTGACCGCAATTTTTGCCTAGAACAGGATAACATAAAAATTGATGAAGAAGAACAAAACAAGAAACGGCTGAAAGCTACATTGACGTATTGTATGAACTGTATACTTGTCTAAGAACTCGTGCGGCTTTATCAAAAATCTTTACTTGTTGTCTTTCCCATATAAGAATCTTAATTCATTGATGTTTTTCTCGAGGCGTTCTACTTCCTCGAGCTATTCACTTAAAAGTTTCTCTCAAACATGTTCGTCGTTATTTATTAGCATACACGCGTATTCAATTCTGACAGGGCAAACCATTGTCAAATCTATAAGTTTCCTAAGTGCATGTTATTCATTAAAAATTAGAAAAATTTAGCAAACACGACTTGTCATACATAACGTCGTAAAAATGACGCTAAAATGACGTTTATGCCCATATATAGACCTTTTGCAGTGACGTCACGCACGCCTTAGCAATTGTTGCTGGGGGAGCATCTGGAGGACAAGCACATGTGCACGCTTTATATGTTAATATGGCTAGTAAAATAAAGTCAGCGCTTTCTATGTCAAAAAAAGGTTTTTTGCCTGGATATATAGAAAATATTCAGTGTAAGGATAGTAAAGCGCGTTACAAAATGAAATTAGGACATTGCAATGGAGATGATCCGTACGAAATACCAAAAAATCAATGGCTCGACTATATCGATCTGTGGCCTGCTGTCAGCTACATTCATGTTGGCATGTATTTATTATTTTCGGTCAGTCTTTGCACGAAAGAGCAGTTAAAAAACCATAAGAGTCTTGGTAGTTATCAAAATTTTGTGAATGGATGGGTGCGTGAAGTGTTGGTGGAAAAATATGACAATTATTGCTTGCTTATAGCTCAAAGCTGCTTGTCGCACCAACAGAGCTTCACCTTCCAAGTGTCTGATCACAAGTATTTGCTATCCAGAGCCGAAGAAATTTTCAACTGCAGCAACAAGATGGGACTCCAGCATGAAGAGGTGGCAAGAGACAAATATCAGAAATGAGTAAACACAATTCATGAAAATGTTTCAGTAACAAACAGTGGATTCTGGATTCATTTGACCCATGGATCTCTTGGTGCCTCTCATGATGGACTTGTCTCTTGCCAATGTTGTGGCAATGGGATTTGTGAAATAAAGGTTTGTTATTCATTGTGTCTATGTTTCATGGGGGAAAGGTCAACATAATAATTACATCGCCTGTTGATATTGTTTTGATAGTGTCCATTTTGCCATAAAGATGAGACAATTGAAACTTCAACAGATGACAGGTTGTTTTGCATTGAAGTAAAAAGTGATGACACAAAACAACTTAAAAGAATTCATGCGTATTACTATCAAGTACATTTGTAAATTATTCTAATTTCATTTAACAAGCTTAATGTATAGCAATTCACTTTCTTAAGTTATTGCTCAGTTGTCATGCACTGGTTTCAGCTAATGTGATTTTGTTGTGTGGACAGAAAAAGACTTGTTTTCATAAATTCCTTTAACAAGCTTAATGCATAGAAATTCACTTTTTTAGGTTATGGCTCAGTTGTCATGCACAGGTTTGAGCTACTGTGATTTTGTTGTGTGGACAGAGAAAGACTTGTTTGTTGAACGAATCTTGCAAAATAACGAATTTCTAGAAAGGAAGATAGAGGCAGCAAAGAAATTTGTGTTGAGGAGACTCCTTCCGGAATTAAATGGAAAATGGTACTGAAGACCGAAAAATTGAATAAATGAAATATAATGAAATCAAATGTTTTATGAATATTATTAGTACAATTTTAAGTGTATGCATGCAAAATCTTTTAAAAGATATTATTTAGTCATAAGGTAAGACAGAATCACAAATGTTAATTAGTGCACAGCTAACAGTAACTATTTTGTCAATCGTATTGGGCTCATTTTCTTTAGAATTGACAAAATCAATTGGCTGAGTTGAACTCAGAAGTGCATATTTCTTTGTAATGTTTCCAATCACTCTTTCCACATGAATCCTCACATTAGCAATTCTTCTGGTTTGTTCAACTTCAATGCCACTGAGCTGTTTTTTTACCCTTAGTAAAAGCTGGCATCTTGATAGTTGCACAGTACAAACCAACTGACTCCTGGATATCAAAGCCTTTATCAACTAAGATTACATCTCCAGGTAAGAGCTTATCAAGGAGACCACTGTTCTCAGTCAAATGTTTGTCACTGACTCTTCCTCCAAGCCACTGGAAACAAAGCTTATTGTACACTGGGGGAGTGACAGCAATTAAGTACTTAATCGTGTTGTGGTACTTGTAGGATGAGTAAGTTTGTGCCCTCACAAGAGGATTTAATGCACAATCCAAAAAAATCTCAAAGCAATCAATGATGGCAACACATTTAGGGCAGTGTTTTCTAAAATCCATGGGCAAGGTCTTTCTTAAGGCTTCCTTATCAGGCCATAAAATAAGAGGGCTTAATCAATTATAAAGAGCAATTACTTGTAAGAAAATTCTTGATACAGTTTCCTTGTTGATGTTTCCAAATCGATAAACCAAATCTACACCAGTTAAATTAAGTCGCAGTTTCATAACTCTTAAAAGCAACTGCCTAAATGGTGACAAAGAACATTTGGGAGAATGCATAAAGGTAGGGGCGTACCACTTCCAGTGTTGCCGACAACATCGTCCAATTTGGCAGACCAGTGTAAAAGAGGACTTTTTCGTCATCATTTAAGAAGGATTTCTCGTCAAGCGTCATGTCACTTATCTTGTTTTTTAACTCAAGATTTTCTTGGGTCAAGCGATTTATCTCGCTCTTCATTGCAGTTATTTTATCCAAACTCAGTTCTCTTTGTGAATATTTGGTGTTCGATTCTGATTCTGACAATCAAGCAGATGTGGCTGATATGACTCCGTGTTCTTCGTCTACAAGATGGGTTGTCAAGGTCGATTGGGTCACTGCTGACAGTACTGTTTCATATAATCATCAATGTCTGTTTTTATAATCATCTGTTTCTATAATTTACTGTTTTTATAATCATCAATGTCTGCCCGACGAATTCTTCGAAGCCACAAAGAACGACGTTCCTTGAGTAAATCTTGCAATATTTTGCTTGCATTGGATTTCACAGCTGGTATGCGATAAAAACCTAATTCCTTATCCCTATCAGCACGCTTCGAACAGCCATAAATTACGCAAAAGTTAACCATCCTTAACAATAATATTGCTTTGTTATTTACAGGTCGCGTTTGCTTGTCCTCCAGATGTAACGTCAACGGGATTGTGACGTCACATGCAATGGGTCTATAGTCTATAAAATGTGACAGGTATTAGCGTTCACTAAAACTACATTCAAAGCTTTACTTTTTTTTTGAATTCCCTTATTAGTAATCACATGAGTTTATCATTTTTCCGCGTTCAAGGAATTATGTAATTCTTCATACCCAAGCTGGCTGATCTGTTTTGCCCTTTTCACATTCAAACATCTCTCGATCTCTCTTTCCTAACAGACGGTCAATTTTGGCGTCCAAAACCTCTAGGTCAGAGCAGGGATTATTGGAAGTTTAACTTAAAACAGAAAAAGAATCAATTTAACGCTGTTGCCATGACCATACCACACAAGATTCATTTCGCAATTTTGATATCTGTGGACGACTTTCACAAATGAAAAAACCCCAGCAAAGTCCAAATGCTGGTAAGTTTCGTAAATAGAAAGAATAGTTGTTCTGAGATTATACAAAATCCATTACCAGCCGACAATTTATAAAGTATAATAAAAACTTCCTCGAATAAAAGATCAAAACTCAATACTTAAGAAACAAACAAGACAGTTTTTACACAGTAATATTTCAATTTATTACAATTCATCATCGGATTGTTTTCTCAAATATTGATTAAAACATGAACATTTTATTCGGAATATGTTTTCTTATTATACTAAAGGAAAGTACAGCTTTTCTCTATTTGTCGCAGCAAATTCATGCTAGCAAGCTGATTTATTCTGCTTGCGGATGAATATGGCGACGATTGATTCAACAAGACATTCTGTAATAAAGTAAATGGTTTGAACCAAAGTAAATGTCAACAGCAACAAATGGTCAACAACAACAAAAACAGTCCTTCTCAGGACTATACCAACCTGGACGATCTACATTTACAAACATGTAAAGACATTCTGTAATAACGAAAATGCAAATTTCAATTTTTTATGACCTTTCGTGTTTAGAGCAGATTTTTGAACTTTACATGCCTTAATTTTAACACCTAGTTTCCTACTATCGATTGATTTCGTATGACAAACATACGAAAATTTCGCTCCTTCATTAATTGAGCTTTCCTGCTTGCTGTTGCGTGATCTCACAGTCGTTTTTCACATGATTATGATTGATTCTTGACCCCTCACTCTCATAAACCTCTTAAGATGGCCTGCTGTGCTGACGTGCAGAGCAGATTAAGTTTCAATGACACGTACGAGCACTGCCACTCATAACAAAAACAACTGCGATTGTTTTTACGTAAGAGTTACATGCCTGCTCATTGTAAGTAACGTTCAACTGTGCAAATATCATAGAGAAAACTATGGGTGAGTAAAACAGACTACCTTGATCATCGAATTTAAAAGTTCGTGCTTTACCAAGTCATTAATTATAAAAAATCTTTCATTGAACCTGTAATGCGAATTTGAAATACATAATTATGTAATATAAGAGGCGTGTATAGACACAATTTTTTATGTATGACCAAGCTTTGTTTTTTTAAGGTATCTTTGAAAACTTAATATATACTTGGGTAATGTTTGTGGTCTTTGTTTTTGAAATAAGCGAAAAGGTGAATGGAAGAAACCATGGATTAGGTACGATAAAATATGAAGTCTATGAAATTAAACTTCATAGAATCAAACATAAAATAATATGGTGAATGTTAATAATGCTTTTCATATTATTGTATGTATAACAACAATGTGTACTCGTTCATAAATCAAGATTGTTTATCTTTTTAAATTTCGTGAATAGGAGATAGAAATATCCTGCACTAGATACAAAAAGGACGGCTTTAAACATAATGAAAATGGCATGGTCAACGTTAATATTCATTTTCTATAATTATAGTCCTCAAGCAAGAAGTTGTCTCAATTTATGATGAAAACTTCACTGACATTCCGAAGGACAGGGAGCCATATTATGTTAAAGTTCAACGTTGTGTCATGGAAAAAGATAAAATTCCTACATGTGGAATTTGTTGGCCCCAACCTATTACATTGACAGAAGTCGAGATTGTCGTTCCTGATTTAAAAAACTACACAAAATTTTATAAATATATTGTATATAATCACACTTCTTGTTACTGGGAAATGACCTTAACAGTTTTGAACTTTAATCTACACAAGAATCTACCTTCAAACGAAAGTAAGGACTTCTGTATTTAATTAAAATTTAAACTGAGATCTAAATTTGAAACGCTTTTCCTTTTGTGTTTACAGTTAACGAAACAGAATTTACAACAAAAGTAAAATACAATCCACCAAACGTGAGAACATGTAATGACTATTGCAAGCATCCACAACCTCGTTTTCATCTGCACAGTGAATATATAAAGGTTCTTTTACGTTATCTCTTTATCCCATTCACTCAATGCTTGCCTGGTTGCAAAGCAACAGAGAAAATGAAGATTGTCAATACAAAGAGCATAGATGGTTCAATCCAATTTCAAGTCGTCAGGGAACATATATCTTGCCATCTCTGGAGCACAACACAACAGTCCCAATAATTCAGCATTTTGGAAGTGGAGAAGAAAGTATACGAATTTGTGCAGTGAACATCAAGATCAAGTAATTTAGTTGGTGCTATTGTTTAATGCAGGATGGAAATAATAGAAATTCACAAGAAGTTTATAAGTATAAAAAATAAATGAATGTTTCAATAAAGGTTTCAAAATTAAAGCAACAGAACAGCTGCAGTCGTACTCTCGCAACCGCCAACAATATCCCCAACAAATACTAAATGATAACGATACTACCCTCCCCCCCTAACAACCTTGTACTAACTCCGGATGGTGATTATCTCGACAACATTAAGTCTTTATTGAACGTATCTCCAGATTATACGCTCTTCTTGAAATAAAACTCGTACATAATACTTGGCATTAGTGAACCTATTACTTGGTAATTTACTTTTTTAGTTAACATTCAGCACAATTAGTTATACATCCAATTTAGTTAACATCCATCAAAACGATGACTTTGCTGCCAGACAATTTTTTGCATTTTTTTTAGTATGGAACAAATGGAGAACTACCTTGACCGGAGTTCGGTTGCTTATGCGATAAACATGTGTTAATCCTCAAATATCTAATGAGGAAATATATATATTATTGGAACAAGTCATCAACAGTTATAATACTAAGATCGCCAAAATTTTATTTGGTTCCAATACGAAAATTTCGCTCCTTCATTAATTTAGCTTTCCTGCTTGCTGTTGCGTGCTCTCACAGTCGTTTTTCACCTGGTTATGATTGATTCTTGACCCCTCACTCTCAAACCTCTTAAGATGGCCTGCTGTGCTGACGTGCATTAAAGAGCTGATTAAGTTTCATGACACGTACGAGCACTGCCACTCATAACAAAAACAACTGCGATTGTTTTTACGTAAGAGTTACATGCCTGCTCATTGTAAGTAACGTTCAACTCTGCAAATATCATAGAGCAAACTATGGGTGAGTAAAACAGACTACCTTGATCATCGAATTTAAAAGTTCGTGCTTTACCAAGTCATTAATTATAAAAAATCTTTCATTGAACCTGTAATGCGAATTTGAAATACATAATTATGTAATATAAGAGGCGTGTATAGACACAATTTTTTATGTATGACCAAGCTTTGTCTTTTTAAGGTATCTTTGAAAACTTAATATATACTTGGGTAATGTTCGTGGTCTTTGTTTTTGAAATAAGCGAAAAGGTGAATGGAAGAAACCATGGA